CCGCCGCTCCGGGGCGGCCCAGGCGTTGGGTGGGACGGGCCAGAGACCCGATGCCCCTCTCGCTGGGGGCAGGGAGGGCAGCCTGGCCGACAGGCCCCTTGCTAGCCCAGTGCACTTGTTGGGTGAGTCCTCAGGCCGGCCCATCGGCACCGCTCCCCACTGCCCAGTCGCCCCCACCGCCCCTCAGGGCCACACTTGCCTGGGCCTCCCCTCGGCAGGGCTGCTCACAGCTTTGCTTTGCGCGGCTCTTCCTCGGGGCGTGACCTCAGCGCACAAATGCAGCTAGCGAGCAGGGTCACGCTTATCCCGGGTCAACTCTACGGACTCCCACGGAGGGGCAGCGGGACAGTACCGGGGCCTGCGCGCTGTGCCACCTCAGCACGGCTACAGCCAGCGGCGGGGAGACCGGACGTCTCTCGGCCTCGCCACGCATTGACTCTGGCTCGACGGAGCCCAGCCTGGACTCAGAGCCAAGCTCAGACGTTCAGCGGTGACCAGGAGAAGCTGACGCCTCATTAGCGCTGCAGTTTCCAGTGGCAGTTCAAAGTGACCCAAGGCCAAGTTTGAGACGAGGCTTTTCTGGTAAATCCACGTAACAATGCTCTGCCGTTCCCCTTCTAGCAGGGACGGGGGGACAGGGCCAGAAAGGGTTAAGCAGCTTGCTGGCCAATTGACCCAGAGCAGAGACATGGACATAGTAGAGTCTCGCTGGAGTAGCCATGTCAATGTGTCTCCACGCACAACGAGGATCCTGTGGCACCACAGGGCACGTCTGCGCCAGGAAATTATTTCGAAATAACGAAATCTGAACTAAGCTCCTGAAGTGACTATCTCCAAAGAAGCGTTAATCTCTGCAGAGAGCGGAAGCAAATGGAATTGCGACTGGCTAAGGATGTAAAGGATAACAAGAAAGGTGTCTACAGGCATGTTAACAAGAAGAAGGTGATCAGAGAGGGTGTGCGGCCCCTAATGGATGAAGGAGGTAAACTAGTGACAGATGATGTGGGGAAAGCTGAAGTACTCAATGCTTTCTTTGCCTCTGTATTCACGGACAAGGTCGGCTCCTGGACTTCTGCGCTAAGTGACCCAAGACGGGATGAAGATGGACAGCCCGTGGTGGGTATAGAACAGGTTAGGAACTATTTAGAAAAGCTAAATGTACATAAATCCATGGGTCCGGACTTAGTGCATCCGAGGGTACTGAGGGAGTTGGCAAATGTCATTGAGGAGCCTTTGGCCATTATCTTTGAAATGTCGTGGAGATCGGGAGAAATCCCGGATGACTGGAAAAAGGCAAATGTAGTGCCCATCTTCAAAAAAGGGAAGAAGGACGATCCAGGGAACTATAGGCTGGTCAGTCTTACCTCGGTTCCTGGAAAAATCATGGAAGGGATCCTTAAGGAATCCATATTGAGGCACTTGGATGAGAGGAAAGTGATCAGGAATAGTCAGCATGGATTCACAAAGGGCAAGTCGTGCTTGACCAATCTGATTAGCTTCTATGATGAGGTAACTGTCTCGGTGGACATGGGGAAGTCAGTGGATGTTATATACCTTGACTTTAGCAAGACTTTTGATACTGTCTCCCACAATATTCTGGCCAGCAAGTTAAGGGATTGTGGATTGGATAAATGGACGGTAAGATGGATAGAAAGATGGCTAGAAGGCCGGGCCCAGCGGGTACTGATCAATGGCTCAATGTCAGGATGGCGGGCGGTTTCTAGCGGAGTGCCCCAAGGTTCGGTTCTAGGACCGGTTTTGTTCAATATCTTTATTAATGATCTGGATGAGGGGATGGATTGCACCCTCAGCAAGTTTGCGGATGACACTAAGCTGGGGGGAGAGGTAGATACACTTAAGGGCAGAGGGAGGGTACAGAATGACTGAGACAAATTGGAGGATTGGGCCACAAGAAATCTGATGAGGTTCAACAAGGACAAGTGTAGAGTCCTGCACTTGGGACGGAAGAATCCCAAGCATAGTTACAAGCTAGGGACCAACCAGCTAAGTAGTAGTTCTGCAGAAAAGGACCTGGGGGTTACAGTGGATGAGAAGCTGGATATGAGTCAACAGTGGGCCCTTGTAGCCAAGAAGGCTAATGGCATATTAGGTTGCATTAAGAGGAGCATTGCCAGCAGATCCAGAGATGTCATCATTCCCCTTTATTCGGCTTTGGTGAGGCCGCATCTGGAGTATTGTGTCCAGTTCTGGGCCCCCCACTACAGAAAGGATGTGGACGCATTGGAGAGGGTCCAGCGGAGGGCAACCAAAATGATTAGGGGGCTGGAGCATATGACTTATGAGGAGAGTCTGAGGGACTTGGGTCTGTTTAGTCTGCAGAAGCGAAGAGTGAGGGGGGCTTTGAGAGCAGCCTTCAACTTCCTGAAGGGAGGTTCCAAAGAGGCTGGAGAGAGGCTGTTCTCCGTGGTGACAGATGGCAGAACAAGGAGCAATGGTCTCAAGTTGCGGTGGGAGAGGTCCAGGTTGGATATTAGGAAAAACTATTTCCCTAGGAGGGTGGTGAAGCACTGGAATGGGTTCCCTAGGGAAGTAGTGGAGTCTCCATCCCTAGAGGTGTTTAAGTCTCGGCTTGACAAAGCCCTGGCCAGGTTGATTTAGTTGGGATTGGTCCTGCCTAGAGCAGGCGGCTGGACTTGACCTTCTGAGGTCTCTTCCAGTTCTAGGATTCTAAGGCGGCGGCCAGAGCCCTGAGCTTGGCGTGCACAGGGACGAGTTTGCAGGCTCCCGAGCCCGGCCGCCTGTGCGAGTGGAGCAGCCACCGCTGCAGCGGCACCAGGTGTCGTCCTGTTTGAGAATTCCAAGGTGGTCACCCTCCTCCACTCCAGGCGCTGCTAAGCGTGCTGCTCCCTGAGGCCAGAGACCGAGCACAAGGGTGGCGGGGGACACGCTCCTGTGCAAAGCCTGGGGCTTTGCTTATTGCAAGCAGAGGAGCCACAAGAGCGGGGCGTGCCGCTGCCTCTCTGGCTGCGGAGAACAAGGCTGAAACTGGAAAGCCAGAGCCGCCGTCATAATATTTCTTACTTCCCCCGCACGGTCCCCCAGAACCCCCAAGCATTGTGCCTTGCACCAGCCCATGTCATGGCCGCTACGCTACGCGGAGTCGTCACGGCAATGTCTACAGCTCCACTCACAGGCCAACAGGTTTCAAAGTCTCAGAGGGGAACCGGGGTAGCCTGGAACTTAAAACCCGAGTGCTCCTGCAGCACCTGGAGACTAGCAACACGAGTCGACGGGCTCACGAGCAGCCGTGGGCACAACCCACTTCTGATGACAACTACGGCGCAAAAGGCCCACTCAGAGGCTTTGGGGTTTTTATGCCTGACAGGTCGAGTTGCAGCTTTCTTTCCTGCTTACCCCAGACGGCGGCATGTCCTCTACACACCACGCAGGGACGCCCTGCAGCTGAACGAGAGGCTGCAAATAAAGGCACCATTCCAAGCAAATGGAGGGGCCGAGTGACAGAAAAGTGACTTGCTGAGGGTCCCACAGCAAGTCAGTGGCAAGGCTGGGAAGGAATCCGAGGCAGCCTGGGTCTGGCGCCTGCTCCATCAGAGTTCCTGATACCATTCAGACATTTTCGTTCGTCTCTAAAGTGCTACTGGACCCCTCAAAGCTCCTGTGTAGATACCGTAAGAAGTGCTCAGCCCAGCCGCTCCCGCTGGGGCCTTAATAAATACGTGAATCCTCCATTTCGTCCCTGTTCCCCTTCTTGCAAAACGCCATTGGCCTGAGGTGCAAGGAACTCGCCCCGCCCCCAGCCAGTGAAGTTGTCCTCAGAGGTGGCTGCTACCAGTGGCCCTGCCTTGCCAAAGTAGCACCGCTGATTTGGTGGGCTCCTTTCCTGCAGCGACACAGAGACGGGGGGGAGCCAGAAGCCACAGGGCCGGTGGGGCTCGCAGTCTGCAGACCCTGCACTCGGCTCCTGCACACCTTCCCTTTGCAGGGAACGCAGGGAGAGAGACCGTGGAGCGCCTGGGAGCAGATGAGATCAGAGGAGCGCAGCTAGAAGGAGGTAGAGCAG